TCTTTGCATATCCCTTCTCACCCACACAAATAGTCTTCAACTTTTTTTTCAAGTTGAGTATTGGACAAGCCAAAACAGAATACATACACAAGGGAAATGTGGCCCTAATAAAAAAGCAAAAGGTATTTTTTTTCTTTAAAATTTCCTGTACACAAACATTTTGAATGACCAGAACTGCCAGGTGATTTAAAAAAAAATGCCATTCATTCTTCATGTCTGTGTGAGGCCATTGGGTCGTGGAGGACCCAGTGTGAGTTTGGCTTCTGGAAGAGCTTAGATCAAATGCCAGGTTTGTCACAAACTTTCTTTGTGATTCTTGTAAGCCACTTCTCCGAAAATTTGTTTTGTTATCTGAAAGTGTGTTTAAAAATTTTTGGGGGGTGGCTACAGGGAGGATATTACGAAAGAAAGTGTGCAAGAATCAGAATCTCAGGATTTCAAAAGTCCACAAGTCATATAACTCAGACTTAGTTTTTGGGATTTATTTTATTTTTATATGAAAGACAGAGTTACAGGGAGAAAGAAAAACAGAGAGATGCCTTCCATTTGCTGGTTCATTCATTGAAAGACCACAGTGGCTGGTGCTGGTGGATTCAAAGCTTGGAGCCTGCAGCTTCTTTGGGGTCTTTCACATGGGTGCAGGGGCCTAAGATCTTGAACCATCCTCCACTACTTTCCCAGTGCATGTACAAGGAGCTGGATCAGAGGTGAAGCAGCCAGGACTCAACTGGCATGCATATGGGATGTTAGCCTCACAGGCAGAGAATTAGCAGGCTGTGCCATCATACCCCACCAACTCAGACTACTTAAAAATCATAAAACTCTTCACTGTTCAGAGTGTGTCAACTGTGCTTACACATGTCCAGCATGCCTGTAATCTGGCTCCCTCTCCCCTTTTAACATTCAGGTTGGTGGTTTCGCAATTCTGGACTCATGGGTATGCGTAAGCGTGCTTTTGCTTTAAAGCCTCCTTGCCTCCACTCCCTTTCTGTGTAGATTTTTCTTTTTAAATTTTTTTGTTCAGTTTCATCCTAGTTTCAATTTTTAGAATTATCCAGAGAGTTTCTGTAAAATCATTTGCTTTACAAAGGTAATTGTTATTGTCTAGTGCTCTTGCTTGCTTTGAAGCCAAAAAATAGTCTTGGATTTCATTGACTCCAGGGATATCTTACTGGAACCAGCCCAGGGCCCATGAATATAATGGGAGCAGGGCCAATAGAAATTCGTTTTTACTCCTGAGCCCAGGCCTGTTGGAACTGGCAACCCCAGGCAAGTGCCACAGTACCTGGGGGAAGAACTACCCTTCTATCAAGGCTGGGTAATGTACTTCCCTAGGTAGGTAGTTTATCCTAGTACATCAGAAGTTTATCTATTTCTTAGGCCAGAGCTTGTACTCTAGGTGCTGGCAGAGCTGAATTTCATTGTTGTCCCAAGGACTTGCTCTTAGCCATCCAACTGAAATGCAGATCTTAAGGAAGTCTCTGAGTCCACTCTTTTCTTCCTTAGAATGGTGCCTGGTAAGTCCTAGAATCCCGGAATAGTACAATATGACAGATTTTCGAATCTGGGAAAAGCAGAGCAGGGAAGATGCTTGGATCTCCTCTGCTACAGCTCCGACTTCAACCAGAGGCAACTGGATTTACCTTTTCACGTTCTGTAATTCTGAAAAAAAAAAAAAAAGAAATCTGTGGTTTTAAAAACAAGTCGGTTTTACTTACAAATAGAAATAAGGAAGGAAGAAAAATGGGCCAGAAAACATTAATCTAAATTAGTCCTAAACTACCTACTGGAACGTTCAAGTTCAGAAAGGCAAATAGTTTTGCAGAGGTTACAGAATATAAAGCAGGACAAACAGCACTTGAGTCAGAATTGAACTTTCTGGCGGGAACGTTCTGTGAACGTCTAGACTCACAGATGTATGCAGGTGTAATTGTTTTTGGATCATCTCCATTTTGAGACACCGTATTTTAAAAAACAAAAGAGTGGAAACAGCTATTCCTGGAGAATGAAGAATCAATTCTCTTTTCACCTCTGGTGTCAATGACACTCACCCCATCTCTTTTGGAATCAGTTTTGGTATCTATCATGGGGAAAGACCAGGTTAACTGGTTTCTGACTTTGATATTTTACAATTCTAGCATTTTAGATGTGTCCTCAGAGTTTTTGGGACATTCATAAATTATTTAAGATAGGGTAACCCCAGTGATGAACAGATTAGGACAAGTTTACAGTGTCTATGTAGTAACTACATAGTAACTACTGGACAACCTTTTATTTGGCCCAAGAGTAACGCAATCACTGAGCACCGATGATAGTGCCAGACACTGAAGCAGATCAGGAGGGAAATAAATGACCAGGGTAGATAGTCCATTTTCTCCCCTTCGTGTTAGTTTTTCCAGGTTTCCTTAGTCATGCCTCACAAAGACCATCTGAACTGTAAATACCTACCATACTTCCAATTCCTGGTTCACTTGGGAGTTACCACATTAGAAATTCATTCCTGTTTTCTAGATTTGCTGCTGTGCCAACCTTCAGTACAAAAAGCTTTTCATAGTCATTTTCAGAACTCAGACTGTACAAAACCACTTTTGTCCTGTCAGTTGGGATGGGAGCAGGATAGGATCTATTGTAGTTATAGGTGTTATAGTCTAATATACTGCCCAGGGCCAGATGATTTAATTACATCCATGAAAGAAACCCTGGGGTCAACAAATTCGGGGTGTAAACCTCACCCTGGTCATTCAGCACAGTCTTGAGCTTTCATAACCTCAGCAGTCTTCTCATCTGTAAATGTGAGTTTTCGGAATGGCAATTAACCTCACTCAGCAAATGTTGCTTTGTTGCTTGCTTTGTGAGAGCCCTGGACAAGTCTTTGAGGCCCTAATGGCCTCGCAGAGCTTGTAGTTAAGGAGACAGGAAGTCAATATGTCGGTACAAATCCAAAGTGTACCAAGTTTTATTAAGGAAAGGGCATGTAGTGTTTAGTTATATACAAGTTCATTCACGGAGTTCAGGCAGCAGGGATGGTGGAGAAAAGACATTGACTGAACGATGAAATGGCATGGGTTCAAATTCTGCCACTACAGATTATTTGAAAAGTGATGAAAACAGTTTTTATCTTTAAAACTTTGTTATTTCATTTGATATTCATAACCTATGAGGTAGTTCCATGATTGCCTCCATTTTACAGTAAAGGAAAAAAATCACACAAGGTGACTAAGCAATGTTGTGTCCACTCTTCCAAAGCCACAAGGTGGAGAGCAGGAATTCAAGGATTAGAAACTAGTTTTACCTGAGCTCAAAACCCTGCTTTTGATTACAACAAATAAGATAACAGAAATGCACTAAAACTAAGTGGCACTGGCTCAAAAAGCAGGCAGACAATTACATATACATTGCTTAATTTGCAAAGGAAATGTAACGTATATGATACAAACCATTTCTTTATTTCTACCTCCAGATGCTTCCGTTCAAAATAACAAGGTGATCTATGTAAGAATTGCAGAAAAATAATCAGAAATTAGCTTTTGTTACACTTTAAAAATGCGATAGAATAGACCTTCCAGGAACTAAATAGAGAAAAAAGGATGAATTTGGTAAAATGTACTTCTGATGGTAAATGTAGAGGTACAGAAATAAGTAGGGGGTGGGAAGGACACTTGCCTGGCTTGAAAAGGTTTCCTGTTTGGGTGGTTTCATTTCTAAACTGTCTCAATTCAAATCATGGTCTTTCTTAGCTTTGGAAGACATTTTCTGGTCTTCTTTCTCAGAATGTTTATACTTCCAGCCATCTTTTATACTGTCAGTTATGTGGTTAAAGAATGTTTGATAACTAATTCCTTGCTTACCAAGAAACGAACAAAATTTTAAAACCAAGCAAAAGCAAAACCTTCACAGCTCCCTTTTTAACCAAATAGGAAAAAGGTCAAACTCCTTAACATGCTATTAATTCAACCAATAGATAGTAATCCTGTGTGTCAGGCACTAATCTGGGTGTCTGGGGTTCTTCAACAATCCGAAGAGGTGCCGGCATTGTGGTGCAGCAGGTAAAGTCACAGCTGAGAGGTGGGCATCTCACATGGGTGCTGATCTGGGTCTCAGTTGCTCCACTTTTAATTCAGCTTCTTGCTAAAGGTCAGAGCAAAGGAGCAGGAGGTAGCCCAGATCTCCCAAGTGAGAGACCCGGATGAAGCTCCAGGCTCCTGCCATTGGCCGTGGCCCAACCCTGAACATTGCAGCCATCTGAGGAGTAAACCAGCAGATGGGAGATTTTTCTCTTTCTTTCTGTCTCTTTGCCCCTGCCCTATTCTCATCCCCAATAATGTTCCTCAAACACTATGTCTTCTCTGCTTTTGAAAATACCCCTTTTTAATACAGACAGCTCTGAGTTCTCAGTTCTCTCCCACACCAAATCTTCATTCTAATAGCACTTTACTTATTTTTGGAATCCTCCTCAAACACATGCCTCTGAAAACATCTTCTGTTACATCTAGAGGCTGCCAGATATTGTTGCAGTATATTAAAATTGACCTGTGAATTTATCTTGTGAATTAAGCTGAATACCTTGAACTTATGAATATTCATTAATCTATATATCATTGATATTTAGTTCTGTCACAAACTTGATCCCAAGATATTTGATCAGTTGCCCATGTCTGTGCACAACCAGCAATAGAATTTTAATGTCAGACTTTTTTTTAACCCTATTGTGTAGTCTCTAAAAGGTATGCCAATTTTTCACAACTCCATATGGTTCACTCAGGTGCTTAAAGAAAAAAGACAACCTTAACCCATAAAACAAAATATAATAAAAAGCACAATTTGTTTTACCAAATGTTTTGAATTATGATGTTTCTTTTTTATTTTAATTTTTTATTTTGCATAATGATTACATGGTTGATCAGGCTGTAAAGAATCAAAGTTTAGGGAAAAGTGGGTGAAATCATGGTTTCCAAATTTTCTATTTCTTCTTCTTGTTTCTGGGAGGATGTAAATTTGAGTAACCTAATAATTTAATCCCATTACTTGGTGCAACTGAAAAAAAGAATACTTAATTCAAGTACTGTTTATAATTTTCTTTGAGAGTATCGTGATGTTAACAATGAAGCCTGATTTTCCAATGTGGAAATGATGGGGAATTATTCTAGATCCTGTCAATGCAAAAAAGGTGACAGTGATCACACCGAAAGACCCAACCGATGGGGTCGAGAGAATTTCTGCATCAGAGATAGCATGTTTGCCTTTTGGGGTTTCCTCTGATTCTGGAAGTCTATGATTCTCCTGTAGATTCTGGTTGCCATTGCCCCAAGAATTTCCTTTTGGGACTCTGAAGGAAACAGAGAGTTGATCCATGGATGTGAGAAGGAATAGCACACATTTCATCCTTTTGGGATTTCCAGAACGTCTGGAGCTGCAAGTTCTGCTCTTTTTGTTGTGTCTGGGGATCTACTTCACGACTCTGGCTGGGAGCCTGGGACTCATCGTACTCATCAGCGGAGAGTCACACCTCCATTCTCCCATGTATTTCTTTCTTGGTAACTTGTCCTTTGTTGACATAGCGTACACCACCTCTGTAGCCCCTAAGATGCTCTGTGACTTCTTCCAGGCACAGAAGGTCATCTCCTTGGCGGGCTGTGCAGTTCAGATGTTTTTCTTCCTTGCGATGGGAAGCACCGAGTGCTGCCTCCTGGCAGCCATGGCCTATGATCGATATGCTGCCATTTCCAGTCCGCTGCTCTACACAGTACTCATGTCTCCCACTGTCTGTCTCAGGATGGCCACGACAGCCTATGCTGCAGGAGTCCTCACTGGTCTGGTGCAAACCAGCTCCATATTCCAGCTCCATTTCTGTGAGCCACGAATCATTAATCACTTCTTCTGTGACCTGCCACCCCTGCTGGGCTTGTCTTGCTCCAGTATCTTCTTCAGCCAGTTGGTAAATTTTCTAGTTGTGTGTGCAGTTGGTGGCACATCAGCTCTCATTGTTTTGGTTTCTTATGGCTACATCATTGCTGCTGTTATACAGAGCCATTCATCCCCAGGGCGGATGAAGGCTTTCAACACCTGTGCCTCTCATCTGACCACAGTGATTCTCTTCTATGGCTCTGGGCTCTTCTCATACCTTCATTCTACCGTTGGGTACTCACAGAACCAAGATAAAGTGGCTTCCATGTTCTATAGTGCTGTGATTCCCATGCTGAATCCCATCATCTATAGTCTGAGAAACAAGGAGATCAAAGATGCATTGAAAAAACTCAAGAAGAGGAAGAAGCAGACACTCTTTCTGTGGTGTACAGTTTCTTAAGTTGAGAAAAAGTTTTGCTGATCCTAAATAGGCATAAGAATAAGTGGCATGAGACTCTGAGTAGTATTAGAGAAACTCAAATAAAATCCCCAGGCTACATGTCCATGAACAGGGGCTAGTGTTTTTTATTTAGTATTTTTTCTCATGAGCTGATATGGTTTCAGTTTTGACCATTTGCAATAAAATATAAATATTACTTCCTACAACATTACTTAGCTGTGACAAATCAAGTGCTTTAAAACTAGATGGGACACCGTTCCAGGACTACTGACATTCACCGAGGCTCTTTTTATAATACAACAGTTCTCCCACCAATTAACTTAACAATTAGGCACCAATCTTACATCTCTGTTTGGCTTGAATTCCTACCCAATCAAGGACTGTCACTGACCGGGAAAGTTGATTTGGGGCTAGGAATCTGACTTTCCTGTCTCATTTGACTTGAGCAATGGTTCCTCAGCCAAAGGAGGAAGAGGAAGCTGTAAACCATGTCGCAGAAGAACCAATGTCACATCATTAGGGTTATTAAATCCATTGGGGCCAAAAACAGGAGCCCAAAACAGAAGTTCCAGAGCTGTAAAGCAATGACAAGCAAAAACCATCAAAAAGTTGAAATGAGAAGACTTAGCAGAGAATATAGTGTTCATAATGTTAATTTTCATATTTCAAATTCCCCTGTGATGAGGAGGCCACCAGGTTTAAGGAACAGGGTCAGAGAAGAGAGATTTTTCTCTGGCAGCTCTGACTGTGCATCTACTACTGAACCAGTTCTGCTCTTGGCCTTATATGGCTATCTGACTCTCTCCTCTGCTACTCCATCCTCACTTGACTTTTATATCATGCACTAGCAATTGTTGACCGTCTGCTGTCCCCTGGAATTTGACCTCCGTTTGTCCCATGATTCTAACATCCTTGTTTTCATTTTCATCCTGTATTTTAGACAGGGGTCCCATTCCAGGATACGGTCTGAGATAGGAAAATCACGTTAGTGAGTGTGTACCAGAACTGAATGTGGATTTTAAGTTGTCTTTGATCTTGTTTTAAGGATGACTCTTGAGGGAAGGATAATAAAAGTTGTGTGTTTAAATCATGGTGAACTGTTACAACCCACCCTAAATCACATTGGCTATGGCCATAACTATTCTGCCTTAACACCACTCCACTCAATTCATGCTGTTGTCATTTGATTTGTCTCCTTGGATTATTGGCTGTTTATGCAGGGGAATGGTGGTGACTTGGACAGCAAATTCCACTGTAAAGCCTTCCTCCATTGCAACCGCCTGCAGGCTAGTTTAAATGCTACCGCGTGGCCTTCCTATAACATTCTCTATTTCACCTTTTGTCACTTTGAGATTTTGGTCATTTTTGTGTGTGTGTTTAATTCTTAACATCCTTCTTTAAATTTCTCCTCTATTCTTTCTCCCAAATGGGACATGACTAGAGGAAACTATGTGTTTAATGAATATTGGTTTAATAAATGAATCCAAGTTCACTTAGCAAGTAATTTAGACATGCTATAGCCAAAGAAGGGAATCAGCCTTCACTGAGTCGTTATATCAGGAATTGCACACCACAGTCTTAAAAAATTTGATTTTAATTCAATAACATAAATACTGATTCCTTGTTTATCAAATTCAAACCTATAGGTAAGAAAATCTTCTCTGACACAACCCTCAATGTAATTCTCCAAGAAGCATTAATTCCCATGCTGTGCCCCATTATCTATGATTCATAAATGTATACATTTATGCACATCAACATTCATATGGACTTGAACTGGAACTACATTTTACTGTATTTTTGCGTGTATTAACATAAATGGTATCTTACTTAATAATTATTCTACACATTGTGTTATTGCCTTTAACATTGTTTCTTGAAGCTCTTTTGATGTTAGGATGTTCATATCAACATCCATCTTTTTGTTTCATAGAATTAAATGCAAAAGTTTATGTTGCCTGTGGAACTATATCATAAAAAAATATGTATAAGATAAAATTTTATTTATTTATGCAGGCACCTAGTCCCAGCACTTGCCAGTGGGTGCTGTGGCCTAGCCTGGCTGGCCTGCGCCTGTTCTGGCTCTCACATATGATAGAAGGTACAGCAGTCTAGCCCAGCCTCGCCTGCCCCAGACTCAGCTCTCACACCAGCAGAAGCAACAGTCTTGCTAAAGTTCCTCTGCCAGGCCTCCTTCTAGCCCCAGGTCTTGCATATGCTGTGACCTGGTCTAGTATGGCCTGCCCCCAATCTTGGCATTCATCAGCAAGTGCTGAAACCTGGCTCAGTCCATCTTGCCTCAGTTCCAGCTCTCACAGGCAGGTGTTACAGTCTAGTCTACCCTGGCCTGCCCCTATCCCTGACCCTCGGGTTAACTGGTAGGTGCTGCAGTCCAACATGGGTTGGTCTTCCAGGTGTTCTGACTCTCATTTGTGCCAGTAGGTACTGAGGACTGGCTCTGCCAGGCTTGCCTCCCTACCCAGTCCATACATATGCTGATGGGTGCTGCAACCTGCTCTTCTGTCAGCTTCAGCTCTTGGGCTCATCAATAGGAGCTGGGGCCTAGTGGGAGAATTCCCCAAGTTCTCCTACCAGGTCTTCTCCCAGCCCAGGATCTTATGTGTGCCAGCAGGTGCTGCAGCCTAGCCTGACATGGACCACTCTGAGTGCTGGCACTCACTGGTAAGTACTACAGCCTATCCCAACCCATTCTGGCTTTCCTGAGTGCCAATGGGAACTGGGGCCCAGCCATGTCCTCCCCACCTCCAGACACAGTCCACACTCATGTTATTAGCTGATGGTGCTACAACCTTGCCCAGCCCAGTTTGTCCCTAGCTCCAGTTCTCTTGCTCACCAGTGGGAGCAGGTGAGTCCCCAAGGCTCCTCTATCAGGCCCATTCCCAGCCCTGGATTCTGCATGTGCCAGTGGGTACATTGACCCAGCCTGGTGTGGCCTACTCCTGGTCTTGGCAATTGTCAGTGGATGCTGCAGCCTGGCCTGGTCCAGCCTGAAAGAATTAAGGGAAAACTGAAATACACCAACTGAATACAAGTTGTTTCATCTGATCTGAAACTTTACATGCTCTGCTAATCCGAGGTAGATGAGGGAAGCTTCATCTATCCAGAAATTAACTTAGAGCTTTGGATAGAGGCTCTTGAGTGACACCTTCAACTTCAGGTATTCTGTATGATTAACACCTTTCTCTGTGTGACTAAAAACCCTCAGCTCTGTTTTATCCTTCCCAAATTCTCTGCCTCAGCATGGTCCATTGTAATTTGCTTAAAGACTAGAAACGAGTGATGTAATGTGAATTTCCTGGTTTTGGTTTATCTTAGCAGATTCCTTGACTCCTGTGGGCATTGGCATTGGAATTCATGAAGTTAGGAAGCTGCTGCCTTGCAGAAGGTCGATAACTTTGATTGTAGTGACTGGCGGATGGCAATGATCATCCTATAATCCCAATGGCTATAGCACACGATGGTAACAAAAAATTCTACGATTTTATTTCTTAATAGAACAATTTTAGAATTAGTTTTATTTACAAATGACTGAAATGAAGAAGGAACTTAAATGTTAAAATGAAACAATTATGAATGAATTTCCAAAAGTTAGGATAGTCGTGAGACACCCCCCATCCCAGCGTAAAGCACCTGTGTCTGCATTCAGTGAAAGGATTGGCCATCAGGCAGGAGACTGGCACAGGCAAGCAGGCTTGAGTGGCAGAGGTGGGAAAGGGTCAGGTGACGAGGGTGTATCTGGTGCTTTACAGTCTACCTCCAGATGGAACCACATAAGACTTCAACACACGACATGATTTGAGAGTCCATTCAGCGAGGTGTGTACGGAAGGACTCTGAGAGCATCCCTCTGACAGCTCTGCCTGATTCTCAGCCTGAATTGTATGCTGACTTGTATCACTGAAATGGAAATGTGAGCTATTCCCACATCAGCCACTGAGAAATCCTGAGTATAATTAGTGGCTCGTTTGCAGCAGGAATTTGGGTCACTCTGGCAAGCACTTCTGTTTTTATTCCCGGTTTTACTCTTCTGCATCTCTAATTTTTTTGTTCTTCAGTCTTTTAATTTGATGTTTCTATATTTACAAATTCCTCAAGCTGTGTGCTTACACATGTTGGAGTAAAGTAAAAAATAAAAATGACCAAAATTCTCTGTTTTACTCATAAGGATGATGCATTTAAAAGTGAATTTGTTTTAAAAAAGTGAATTAGTGATAACTTCCTTTTAGTCAAAAATGTCAGAAAATTGAAAAGAAGTCAGACTAGGAATTAAGAGAATTTCTCTCTTGTTTTTTTTTTTCCTAATTTTTAAAATATAAAAAGAATTCTCAAAGATATAATTCTAAGAAGATAATCATACTCCCTCCCTCTGTCCCTAACCTCCCTTAACCTCATCCTTTACTTTCTTCTTTTTTCTTTATTTTGTGCATAGCTGTAATTGCAGTGCACTCTATAATCATAAGCATAATCTACCACTGACCATCAAGTAAAAAAAAAATAGACATGCCACAATTCCACAGCAGTACAGACAAGGCTAAAACAATGATTACATCCTACATTTCATTTCTTTTTGATGATGATTACATGGTTGATCAACATGGGTAAGATCGAGGGATAAGGAAAAGTGGGTGAAATTATTGTTTCCAGTTTTTAAATTTCTTCTTATAATTTCTGGGGGAAGGGGAGAGGTAAAGGAGAAGCCACGCCCAGCCTCCCAAATGACTCAGGGGTAGGAGAAACACCACCCGATATCAACCCAGGGTCCTGATACGGTGCATGTTCTGAGGGTTCTGCCCAAGTGGTTAGGATAGTTGTGAAATGCTGTCAGTTTCATGGATCCAAGGGCTAAGCGGTCCTCCCAACGTCCATTGGCTGACATTGTCCACCTCAAGGCTCCATTCACCCAGATTTTCTCTGTCATCGTTTGGCTGGGGTAGTTGTCCAATTTGTCCAGCTCTTTTTCCTCTGTTACTGTATCCAATGAGCTGCCATATTCTCCATGTGCATCAGGGTCTGTATGCACTGCTCCACTTTTTTCATTCATA